CATTTATATCTTAACATACGTGCGGATATATATATATATATATATATATATATATATATATATATATATATATATATATATATATATATAATTGATCGATTACATTTCATAAATAATACCCCAACAAAATCATATCGCAGGGACACTATGACCGAAATCGTGTTTGAAAATTTTACATTAAAATTAAAACGTTTATTATATATATATATATATATATATATATATATATATATATATATATATATATATATATATTATATTCATGTATGTGTGTGTGTGTGTGCCTCTGTGTGTGCGCGCTAATGAATCTCCACTACGATCACTTTGAATTGATTATCACCTGCTATTTCGTCTTTGATCTTTGGCAGGAACACAACGTTAGAAAAATTATTCTGTTAATATCCACGTGACACCGCGTTCCTCCTGTTTTTTAACCAATCAAATCATTTTTCCCTTCCAACACTACCACCACCACTACCCCCACCAGCACGTCTCAATATTCCCATAATCAGAAACGCATGGAAAAAAAGACTCTATAAAAAAAAAAACGAAAATTTCGTTTTATTTTTATTATTATTATTATTAAAAAGAAGTTCTTCTAACCTAACTTTATTATCTGTAACCCCAAACAAACAGGTACACCAAAACTCCCTATATGCATACAGATACGCAAACGCTCATATTCATATATTTTGAACACATTATTGTATATACGATAATTGTTAAAGAAACGAATTTACTACTTTCGTTGGCACCGAAGAAAGAAAATTTGCACGGGTTAATGACTATAACTGATAAACGAATGATTTGATCGTCTAGTATTTATATACATATCTCTTTACGCTCTCTTTCACTGTTTTAATCTTTAATTTCCTGAAAACGCCTTGATTATACTTATGTGTTTATGTTTTCATGTATGTAACATTGGGAGAGGCAGATTTATTTTGTTGTTACTGGACATTGTTATTTAGTTCATTTTCCGAGTACACCGTTTAGAAGAGAATGAGAAAAACTATTGCATTTTTACCAAAATCACGTTCATTATTTTGAGTCTCAAATTTTGTTGATCAGTCTATATGTTCATACGGATTATTTATAATTTAAGATTGCCGATATTTAGCTTATTGTTACATACATACGGATAGATAGATAGATAGATAGATAGATAGATAGATAGATATGAAATGATTGAGAGAG